AAGGAAGGAAGGAAGGAAGGAAGGAAGGAAGGAAGGAAGGAAGGAAGAGAAGAAGAAAAGAAAAACATACATAAGGAAACACTATTTCACCATAAACCCAAGACATTCTGTAATTTTTGCAGTGTGGATGAATATGGAAGACATGAAGTACAGTAACACAGGGACAAAAAGAAAAATGCAGATCATTTTGTTCACAGGAGGGGTAGGGAAGCCCTGACCTGACAGAAGCAGAGGGAGAGCAGAGTGGGTGGATGGACAGTGGGGAGGGTAGTTGAGAAAGATTTAGGTCCAAGATTACATATGTAACCCAGAGTAGAGGAATGAATTCTAGAAATCTGGTGTACGACATGGCAACTATACATGAGTGAGGGTGTGTTCCCTGGCAACGCCTGGTGGCTGGTGAACATTGTCACCACAGACTTGATCATTATGGGAAGCATTTGTTAACTAGAGTCAACAATTTCAGAATATATACAAATATATAATGCTTATATCATAAATGTATAAAACTGTATCTGTTAACTCAGCATGTTAAAACTTTTAATTAAAAACCATAAATTCTCTCATGTGACCTAAAAGTACTAGATCATAATCCCAATCTTCTCACTTTCACTATTTTTTATTGCAAACACTCTTAGAAGTGCAAAGACGTTAAAATCATTGCCTTTCTTTTTACACGGTATATACAGCTATAATGATGTACGCTGATTCTATACCTTGGGGGTTAAGAGACTTTTCGACTTTCCATTCCCATGTCTATGTCAGAAAAGCAAGTTATTCAATATCAAAGAACTAGCTAAGAACTTGGAAAATAATAGCAAACTTTACTGACTCTCAAAAGAAGTTCCAGCAGACTTGCTTCCTGCTTCCTCTGCCTTGTGCTCCCTCACACATCTCTCCAGGACCAGATAGGTAGGAAGGTAGGTAGCATGTAGGTAGGTAGGTAGATAGGTAGGTAGGTAGGTAGGTAGGTAGGTAGGTAGGTAGGCAGGCAGACAGGTTATAGATAGACAAATGGATGGATGGATGGATGGATGGATGGATGGATGGATGGATGGATGGATGGATGATAGGTAGATAGACAGACAGACAGACAGATACAAGTATATCCTTCCCTTCTCTATTTCTTAAGTCCTAAAGTAAAAATCATTTTCATTCCCACTATTTGGATGGAAACTTCGTACTTGTCCACAGTGTGTTCTGCTCCACCACGCCCCATTTCCTTCTCCCAGTCTGTGCCCTATCTCTCCATGACCACCTTCCCTCCCAACCTCACTTGCTTCTTATTTAAAACCCACCATGTCTGCTGAGTGCTTCCTATATGTAAATGAGTATAAGATCATCTGCTGGCATGTAGAAGCCTCTCTGGGGCTGCATCTCTGAAGAAAACTGACTCTCCCTTCCCCAGAAGCCATCAATTGCCAAGAACTCTTCCACTAAGGGTGGGGCCTCATGAGCACCTCCAACATCCATGCTGAGATTTTGGGCTGGTTGATCATGTACAAGTTTTGTACATGCAGTCACAGCCACTGTGAGTCTGTGTATGTGATGGAGCTGTCATGTCCAGCAAATGCTGTTTTACTGCAGACATCTACTGTTCTTTTTCTTCAATGATTCTTGGTGTGAGGGTATTACATAGATGTCCAATGAGAACTGAGCACAACACAGTCTCTTGTTTTCTGAAGGTTGACCAGTTGTAAGTCTCTATACTAATAACTATGTACTGGGGAAAAAAAAAAAAAAACAGCTTCTCCAGTGAGGGTTGAGAGATGCACTAATCTCGTTTATAAAGACAGGAACTTAGAGGGCAGTTTATGATTATGCCCGTCAAGCAGAAAAACAGCATTAGAGCCTCCTGTAGGGCCTATTAGTTAGCAAGACACAGGCTTAGGGGATTTTCTTTGTTTAACGCTTATTTATTTTTGGTTGGAAAGATTGCTGTTTTTGTTTTGTTACTAAAGGGACATAGTATCAAAATGGACTCTCCATTCTTACCTCTGTTCCATAGATTATCGCATTTCTTAAACCTCATCAAAGAAGTGTCTTTGTGGAATGGATTCAGGGTTATTGCAGAAACTCACATCTAGTCAAAGTACAGAGGACAAGTGATTATGCAATGTTCAATCACAAGTGACATCACACCCCTCCCCAAACTCAAGGACAGTCACAGAAAATGGAACAGGAAAAATTTAAGAGCCACAGACTGGGGAGGACTGTATTAAAACAGTGTCTTCTGGGCACAGGCGGACTCACAGGATCAAGCCAGACTACCTTCTAGCATGGGGTGGAAGGGAAGTCATAAGCTTCCACTCATAACAAGAAGCCATGGTTAGTTGATGGTTTCTGGGGAGGGAGAGTCAGTTTTCTTTGAGGGTATGGCTCCTGGTAAATCAACCATGCTCCACTGAACAGCATCACACCCAGAAATACATGAATAGCAAAAAACAAAGTTGATAGGTTGCTACATTTTTTAAAAAAGGATATAAAATTAGGAAAGGTAGGGAGGCAAGTTGGGTCTGGGGAGAGTTAAGAAAAGGAGTTGAAATGAATATTATAATATATTGTATTAAACTCACAGAAGAATAATAGAAATATTTATTGAAAAACTAAAACTTCTTTTTTCTACCATTTGGAAAAATAAAAAAATCATAATTTTTACTTGAGAAGCGATCTTAAATAATATCTAATTGTTTACAGATTCATCTTCACTCTGCGAACAGGAGTGTGTATCTTTGCAAGTACATCACCAGGTAGAGCGTGGTGGAGCGCACCTTTAATCCCAACGCTCAGGAAGTAGAGGCAGGGAGATTTGTTTGAGTTCAAGGGCAGTCTAGTGCAAATGCAGAGTTCCAGGCCTACCAGTACTGCACAGTAAGACTTTGTCTCTAACCAGTTCATTCTCATCATTCTGTTTAGGAAGTTTAAGCCTATCGTAATGACAGAGGTAAGCTCTATGGTGGCAAGGACTCCCTGGTGGCTAAATCCTTCCTGGAAAGGCCAGTGTTCCCAGGATTTCCATCTGAGTCTACAAAACGGTTATATGGTTTGGCTTCTGCTTGGTCCTAACCCTGGCCGTGGTAATGGAGATGAATTTCAGCATAACTCCTAGGACTCCTACAGGCCAGGAGACAGAAGAGCAGGTGTAGAAAAGAGACTCGAGACACCAGACTTACCAAAGGGTTCTGTCAGTTTCTCCTTTGAATTTTTCTATGTTCTAAAAAACAACAAAGTAAGAATTATACTTAAGAATTCAAAAACACATGTATGAAGGGTAAATACCACCTAGTACTGTTCTCCTCAATGCAAGAGAATAATTACATTGTTTACAGCTTTCTCTTTATTTCTAATTACACTATGTGGTTCATGGTGCTCTAATCCGGTTTTTGTATCAGTTACAGGTGTCTTGAAGGCAGAGGCCTGGACACAATCCTCACACTCACTCTCTAGGACTCAAGATGCACCAGGGATATAGGATCTCACATGCTGGGATGTAGCGGAGGCGGTTAGCAAGAGAACCTGTGCAGAAGGAGAGAATTAGATACGTCTTATTTATTTAGGAAAGATTAAATGTACCTACTTTTCAGTAAATAATTTGAAAATCTGTTGAAATTTTTTTTGATAACATCACACCACTCTTTCTTGTTAATCTATAACTTTAAAAACTAAAAATAACAGTATGATAATTCCAACCTAATTTTGTGTGTGTATATACATAGTTATTCACATATCTACATATGTAAACATATGCACATATATACATACATATTCATAAATATACATTCACTTATATATGCATGCATATATATAAGGGAGCATGCAGAACTAGAGAATGTATGCCTATGTACTCCTGTTGTGTTTGTACATCTGTCTGTCAATCTTCTGTCTGTCTGTAGGAGCAAAGGGAAAGAAGTGCTTCTGACCCCCTGTACAGACATGTGGCTAAAGACAGCTACAGCAGACCCAAGTTTCTTTCCGGAATGTCAAATATCCACTCAGTCCCTGACCTAACACTTGACAAGTCACAATTCTATTGATTCGTAGCCTCGTGGTTACAGAATGCATTCTTGGTTGACACAGTGGTTGGCAAATGGGAGAACTCATGGTGATCAGGTAAGAATCCCGGCGGGGGTTGGAGGGGGGTGGACCCACTAGGCTTGGAACACACAAGAAAATTCAATCTTTAGGGAAAGCAAATTGTACTGTAATGCATGTGGCATGATCAAAGAAAGAAAAATAGGTCCCAACAAATAACAATCCATAACTCACCAAACAGCTCCTGGAGAACACAGGATGGAGAATGACGCATCATTGAAGAAGGCCATCAGAGCCACACAAGGAGTCAAAATTCAGACCGACATGAGTATTTTTCATCCTGTTTTGTGTGGTTTAACAAATTCCACTATTTGAACCAGTTGCTTTAAGTGGGATGTTTAATTTTACCTCCTGAATTCTTCTCAGATGTATTAAAATCCCATGCACACGGTCATTCCATAGATGACTGAATAAAATGGAATTTTTATTAAAAAAAAATAAAATAATTAAGATTGAGGAGGGGGTTAAAGGTAATGTATGTGATTTAAATACTAAACATGATCTTTAAGATAAACATGTCTATCTGCTTCTTTAGAACCGTCTCTGCGATCTTTCCATGGAAGGGGTAGGAGCTGGTTATCTGGCACTTTGAACATATCCAGGCTAGGAAAGGGACTCCTGGCCACAGCATCCTCACAGGTTGTGAGAAGTCATTCCCAGTGAGAGGGACCACATTGGAAGCGGATTGACAGTTTCGACTGAAAACAGCTTTCCAAGAGAGGAATCTTACAAAGTATTGCAAATGAGTCAGGACAACGGCGG